AGGACTGTACGAGTCTATTTAGATTAGCATAAAATATTATATTATTATATAAGCAATAAAATTTATATTCAATAAAAAAGAAAATATTTTGGTATGGTTGTTTTATGTTTTATTTTTACTTTATATTCTTAGGTCGTTGTGTATTTTAGWTAATGGTTTAAAAGTTTGATGATAACATAAAAAAAATTGGTTGCAGTTTGCATTGCATACATATCATTGATAAAAACAGCGCATAATYACTATAACACATTAAATTTTTACCACTTACAAAAATAATTATACAATGTTAGCATAATATCTATAATAACATCTCTATAAAAAATAAAAACTTTATTGCAGTGCCAATGTCCACGCAAATAATTATTTTATTTTCATTTTTTATCATTACTTTTGTAGGCCCTGTTTGTAGTTATTTATTTTTATGTATGAGTCATAATAAATATAATATACAACTGAATATGGATGGGTAGCTGCGTTTGCTCTCTAAAAACTTTTGGTACCATCACTGTGGGCTCCTACGCAATATTTGTACAATAAGTAACCCATAGCGTGTTTACAAACCATCCTGAATTCTGTATTACTGCTTATGTGGTTGGTAATCAGATAGATAATAGATATTTAGGAAAAGGATTGTCAAGTACCAGAAACTCCATGGTCCACCACAGACGAAATGCATATTTAGAAAAAAATCTTCTGCACATAATATATAATATATATATAGGTACAGACAACAGACAGACAGCTATTAAGTACCAGTACASTTATGTAAAATCGTCTTTCCTGTACATTTTATTGCCTATTCGCATGCATTTAAAAAATAAAAAATGGCAAACTCCTACTGTACGTCTCAATCGACGATAAAACACCACGATGAGAATCGGACACTCTTTCTTCACACACTTGTAGTATACTTAATTATGGAAAAAGAACCTCAACCAATATGAAACGTATGCCACAAAGCACAATTATTACCATCAAACATACTCAAGTTGTATATATACAACCTCAACAGACAACCACATACAACAGACTTGTATAGAACATGCCAATATAGCAATATACACAATATAGCAAAATCACTCGCCACTCAATGAAGAGTAAAGACCATACTATGAATAAAATAAAAAAGTTTAAGAGTCATTAATGTTATAAAAAAAATAATAATTTGAATTTAAAAATATAATGCAAAAAAATTGTAAATTGTATAATCGGTTAAACCTTTTATAATATGTTACTAACTTAATATTGAAAAAAAAAACAATAATATATAGATAATTCAATGACACAAAATAACTTACTCTTTTAATCTCTAAATAAAGAAAAATGAAAATAATAATAATAATGTGTAAAGTAAGTATGGGTATTGGTATTATGATTTACGATAATAATATCGTATCACAGTGCAGTTTGAATAATACATAGAGAACGACACCGGTTTTTACCTTATTCAATATACGACTTCGAAACCCCGGAAGTTGGTGATATTGCATTTTCCATTCAACTGACCACGACGACCGTATATACATATCTATGTACTTTACGACAGTGTATGTACACAATATATAGGTAGTGTAGGCACCTATAGCATATACATTGTAATGCACGCGTAAACGTCAGCGTATTTGTTGAGCGTACGAAATCATTTTGAGATTAACGTGATATACTTATATATAGGTACCATATAGTATATATATAAAAAAACGCGTCTTTTCCTGTATATATTTTATTGCAGCCCGTTTATATGCATTTTTATCAATTCATTTTATATACACGCTAACGATTCCATTTCCTGGTTKCATGGCTATTCGTTACATATATTAGGTATTTATATATATAAGTATATATTACGCTATATATTATACCTCCGCCCCCGCACGATCTTTGAAATCGAATCGATTATTAACGATTGAAAAATAGATTTTTACACGAATTGTAAAAACAATCCTTTTTTAATCTAATGATATTGTTTTTTTTTTTTTTTTAGAAAGACTTCGATCATGACGGAAAACCTCGTACAGTCGTACTTATCAAAACGAGTACACTACCTACAGTAGTGTGTAGCATATATAAGACACAAACATGTGAGGCTGTATTGTAGCTGATGTTTAAGACTTATACGGCATTAAAATTTGCTATTAATCAATAACTGATAGTCTGCACTATGAAAATTATGAAACTCATCCATAATTTTGGTCTTAATATCGATCCAATTTTTAAAAATATTTTTTAATTTTACCGATGATTTCATTCAATTGAAAATGGCGATGAGAGGAGTGATTAAAGTTTAATCATTTATAATCATCTTTTAGGAAATTTTTAGTAATTACTGTTGTTTGTAGGTTAATATAATGGGTTGATTATTGATTGGTTTCAGTCAGAAATAAGAAAAGTTGATTTATATGATCCTTGTATTTTGATGTTCTCATCCTGGTTTGTTATGATTATTGGAGATTTTAAATGTGATATTTTCTGTTATTGAATATACTAAAGCCACGGTAGATGGTAATTAACCAGGTAACATCTTTCACTGCTCAAAGGTAAAATTGGGTGGTTTGATTTTCGACTTTGAGCTACCTATTATCAGTAAAATGAGATCCTCCGGATTGAACACATCGGGGTGAGTGGTTATAAATTTATAATAGCTTTTAGTATGACAGAATATTGACATAAAATAATATATAGAGATATTGTATTAGGTGTTAATTTTTGATGATACTTATTGATTCACATTTAATTTTTTAATAATAATTGAGTGTAAAAATTTGCATATTATTTGATTTATGTATCGTAATATTTTTGTTTGCTTGTAAAAAAGTTTGAAGTTATAACATAAAAGAAGTTACACTTTTCGCAATTAAATAATAACGAAAACACAATATATTAGTGATAACTTTTTTGTGACTTTACTCTTTACTCAATGACGGGTACACTGTACACATATTAGTATATTACTATACCAGCAGAAGATAGTATGACTTCTTCGGTGCTTTGAATTATTATTGAAATTACACATTTTAGACGGTTTCTCAATTAACTGAATGTTATTTTTTTTATGGAAATTCCGTGAAGCTCTACCGTTTCGGATTATTACAATTAAATATTGACTTTTTATTATAAACATAATATCTTAMTCAGTAATTATTTACAAAACAAAACATGTATCAATGTAGTATGGTTGTAAAACAAGAAATTTCAAATATTTATCTAATTTAAGTAGTAGTGTAGAATAAACGTGAAAAATAAACTATGATAACGGATCACATGTATACACCATGAATATGCAATATGAATTGTATATATTTCTCAAGTATTTACACAAAATATTCATTTAAATATACATATAATCTATGTTGTTTGCTGTAAATTAATATTATTTTACGGACAGATATTTAAACATCGAATTTAAAAATAAATTAAACAAGTTTACAAGATGATACCGAACGGTTACGGTTTAATATGAAATAACCCAAGTGCTGTCGCTGGACAGTGTTCCTTCACCTCAGTCCTCAACTTAAAACACCTTCATGACTTTTACTTTTTTATTTTAATTATTTAAAAAAATGTTTTCCTGCTTTGTCTTTATTTATAATTTCTACTTTATTGTAAGAAATACTGTTCAGATTGTGGAATTTTTCTAATAAAATTTAAAAAAAATGTWATTTTAATTATTATAAAACTGTAGTTCAAAACAATATTGAAAAATTGAACGAATTTCAATAAATTTGTGTTATTGTCATAGGAGTTGCTCGGTGTAAGGAAAGGGAAGGATATTCCGTACTCAAAAATAATCATTCKAACGAAAAACTGTCTTCTTTTTACAGAAATTGCTGATTCTGACGGTACACTAGATCGATTACTATAATATAATACTATACATAAACACATACCTTAAGTAAAATTGTTATATTTTTACGTCTTTCAAATAATATCGTAATGTTGTAGTAGGATAAATAAAAATTAATTTTCATACCAGCGTCTGAGGGTACTTCATCTTTGGATTTGCCTAGGTCTTCGAAAGCTTTATGGTTTATTGATGTACCGTTTTGCAYAGTTTTCAGTGAACTCTCGTCCCACGTTTTTTCACCATCGCCCAGCAGCTCTTCTGCTCTGAGTATGCCTACTCTGGACTTGGCTTCATTTGGTGAACTCAAATCCTTAATAATGCCACCTGTAAGACACAAGATTATTTAATAGGTATAGTATACTATTATATAATCATACCTTGAATCRGTGATCAAAATTCCTATAGATACTTATACCAAATTGTAAACAATTACGTACTATGTGTGTCAAAGAACAGGTTTCGATTTAAAAATAAACATTCTTAAAAATTYTTCTTAAAACCAATCGTAATGCAATCAATGTTTGGCGTACATGACTAAAATACCGAATGTATTCTCATGAATTTACTAATTTAGGGGTTTTTTTTAAATAAAAAATATATACTTTCGATTTTYTTAAATTTTGTAAACTTAAAAGAAACAAAAAAATTTAAAAAAAAAATTAAGTCTGAACTCGTTTGTTGGAGCCATCATCCAGCCAAAAATTTATTTTTATTCGTGTAAACGATTCAGATATCTATACTTTATCTCATTATTTTAAAGGTCCTATGACTGCTAAATGTATCACGAGGAGTAGTAGCTTTATGACCGGCGCTGTAACTTAAATAGATTTTATACGTTTTTCACTATTCTGTTGAAAGAATTAAATGCAAACAAYATAATTTGCTTAACATAATCGCAAAATATAAAACATTTACAAATAGGTAACATGTTTGACAAAATGTACATATTGTAATTATTATTTTTTATAAAAGTGGTATGTTTAAAGTGGTAAGTTTATTATTCAAAAAAGTTTTGAAATTGTAATTGTTGAGTGAACACTTATCTATTTCCATTATGCAATCCAATTATAAAAACTATGCAAATAACAGTTATAAGTTAAAAATGATGGTTGATGATCAGATTGATCTGTGTYCAAAGCCGCTTTAATTTTAAATAATTAAATATTAAATTATATTTTACTCTGCAAACGAATATTTTTTTTTTAATATAGCTTAATAATWTTACATTAATTTTTATTGTCTATTTTTTAGAATCTTGTGATTCGTGATTAAACAGTTTCTGTATAGTGCTTATCAAAATATTATGCAGCAAAGCCCCACCCACAATAGTGAATTGTACATCAAATTTACAGCGTTCGCTTATACATATTTCAGTGATATTATGTTTTACTGGTCAGTAAAATATTTTACTTACAGTCACAACAGTATATCACACAGTGTGTYGTTTATAATACGATGTGCACCTACTTATGAGATTGACTTTGCGCATAGATTCTTCAAACTCTCCGTCGTCAATGTGGTTGGACATCTCGACACCAATATATATACATATATATTTATATAACTTAATCGGTTAGTTTTGTGACTATACTCGTATATATTTATATGTATGCACAAAAAAATCTAATATATAGAACTATGTTACGATGTATAACGAAACTATGCGCTCGTTGCAGTGCATTCGATTTGCCTATAAATGTGATGGCCGACAGTGTCGAATTACGAGTGAAATCAGCACACGACTATATAAGTAATAATAATACGTAATATTACGGGCCACGTAGTATAACTACGGGTTTCGTTGTCATAATAATTGTTATGTGCATAGTTTCATCGCTCACCGCTGTTGTTTCCATAGCGAAATCAATTATTGATAACGCTCTGCCGTGGCCAGGAACGCGGCGCACTGTCGTCGCAGACCTTTCGCGATAATCGTGTGTTTCGTTTTTAACAGTGATATACACCTGCGGAGAAACTAGGAAATTGTAGGCATAAGGCATAACAAAATAGAGGCTATATTATTAGAATATATTTAGATGGAGAATTGGAGAGGTGCATAGAGACGGCCGCGGGARAGTGCTGAATTTGAATCGGAAACTTGGAGCGATTATTATTAAAAATTAAAAATCATAAGTATTTTATCGATTGTTTGAATTCGTGGACGCATGTGTGTCCGAGAGGAAGGCGAAAAAAGAGATGGTTGGATATTATTGAGAATGATATGAGTGCTGTGGTTTGTGTGTGCGTAGGGAATGTGGAAAATCGTGAAAAGTGCGGATGTGCATAGGACAAAAGTGTCTGACCCCAAATAGTTGGGATCAAGGCGAAGAAGAAGATGTATGTTATTTATTCGTTCCAACCAAAATATAAAATGCTAACAATATTTTAGTAACATGCTATTACCATACCGCAATTAACTATATATTGGTAACGCCGTGGCCAGGAACGCACCGCTGTCGTCGCCATAGACCTTTTACTCATAGACCGATTCATCCGATGCCAAATATATCGAAAGTCGCGTGCCGACCATGATGCAATGATATATTGTACCATATCAGAGTAATTCTGTAGTTCCGGTAAAATAAAATGTTACCAAGATTTTAGTACCACACTCTTACCATGTACCGAAATCAAATATTGATTAAAACGCGTTTCGTTATATTTCTGTGAAACTCGAGAATTGTATGCGAAATATATTTTACTCTAAGGCAGTGGTTCCTCAGCCTTGGAACCTTTTTATGTAGAAGTTTTTTTTTTTATATAACGAGTAATTTAACACTTATATAATTTGATATAAAATCATTCAAAATAGTTTAATATTGATTATATAAAAATAAAATAAATGTCATTAATAGGGTTCGGAAGTTATAGGAGTTTCATATTTTTCTGTATGCTGTCGAATTATAGCAGACCAAGCTAAAAATCCGAGCTATACAATGTTAAGTTTAAAAATTGAAGATTAAAAATGCATATTTTGATAATTTTAGAGAAAAAGTACATATTTCGTCGATTTTCGCATAATTGTATACCTACATGTTTAATATTTTCTACAAAATTTTTTTTTTTTCATTCTTAACCAATTTATTTTAAATAATATTACATATTTTGATGTTTGACATCAACTGATATTGAATGAAGTTTTTCTCGATATAAGAATCTTCTGTCAAATAATCGTCGGGCGTTCCACATGGAAAATCTTAAGAAAATATGCAACAGTTTAACAGGTATTCAAAATATTATATTTATTTTGTATTTCACAAATAATGAAAATATTATATTTGTTTAACTATTTTTTCAGTTCAATAAAATCTCAAACGCCAACCGGTAACGCGCTATATTTTTTGTTATTTTTATATAAAAGAGTTTTAAATAACACAATTTTTTTAAATATATTTTTTTWAAATTTTTTTTCGTGTGTATTAGTAAATAAGTAATTTTGTAGTTTATTTATCACAGTTTTATTCAATTGTTGTCATTTATTTTTATAAAAAGATAATAAATTATACTCTTACCAGAATACTACCGCAACAAGGAATCAAAAACAAATTGATGAGACTTTTGATTGTAAACGATATCATAGCYTATGATTYATAGATATTTATTGAAGTCGATTGATTTTCTCGACGAACGCGGAGTATAGTGATTTTTCACAAAAATCTGTCTCACTGAGAAAAACCCAATGCGAGGAAAAAAATTCTCATTTCCTGAAGGAGAAAAAAAATATTCATGGGGATTAAAAAGTAAAACGTGTGACCAATTTTACTTTTCTTTATAAGTAATGGCCAACGCCACGGAAACAGTAAGTTGACGTCACCGATAAATGGCGAAAAGTGGAATATAGGTAGGCACCTAACCTATTTAGACATGTATTATGTGTATCGCCTTTTACGTTTAGTCATCGGTGAAACTATTATTTCTATAATCAGTCAAAAAACGTAATAATTATTTTTAATCCCCGAAGTCAACATCATATTATTACATGATGTTTAATTTATTTCAAATATTTTAAATACACGTGTGTTACAGATAACTATAATAAAATATGCATAATTACACTTGTCTTATTATTGCAATAGTTAATTTTTGTAGAGGAGGGGGTTGAATAAAATAAGGGCATTCATTTTTATCTATGAACCATTTTTTGGTATATTTTGAACAATGAACATAAAATTCAGCACACTATATTATATTATACAGGGTGTCCCGTGAGGATTTACCCATTGCAATATCTCCCGAAATAATAGTGATATCGAAATTCTGGTCTTGTAATAAGACCTACAGGGATAAGAACTACAATTATATCATATTTTAATTGATTTTAATGTTTTGGTAAAAAAGTTAAAATATATTTTTTTATTTAATTATTTCCAAAAAAAATTAAGGATATAAATTTTGTAGAGTTTATTTTTCTGAAAATATTGACGTTTCAAAATCTTATTTTCATTAATTTCCTGATTTTAGATTC